TTTAGTATATATATATATATATATATATATATATATATATATATATATATATATATGTATATACCTATTGAAAAAAAAGTGTCTATATATGATGCACGGATAATTAGCATAAAAAGTTTGCTTCTTTTGCAGGTTTTGAAGGTAAGCAATGCCTACAAACCAATTTATATCGTTTGTTATTATTACATATAAATGATAAAATGGTCAGCATGGCTTTATGCTATCATTGAGAGTATGTCACATTGACATGCTAAGTATACCACTATGACATGCTAAAAAACATTGGTTTAATTTTATCATAGAGAATGCAATTAGAAAATGAAGTTTCGCTATGAAATGTTAGAATGGTATTTAAATTGTTCGTAATTTGCACGACTCATTAGAACAATCTTTTGCAATCCCTCTTGATTGATTGAATGCATGATAGAGATAATCTTACTATATATTGTACAATAACAGATATTACTTATAATATTACTTACAATTAAATACTAAACAATTTGCTCGCATTAGTTACTGCAATTGTTGCTGAATTTTCCGCATGTGCATGTATCATTCCAGAATAAGGTTAAGTATTTGTGGTAATCGAATTCTAAGTTTATCCTCCTAAAAAGCCACCAAAATATGCATTGAAAATTCAAAAAGCCTCCAAAAAATCGCGTCATCCCGGAATATTTCTTTTAGTTGTATTCAGTGAACGATTACTGATTGGTGTCATTATTCCGGAATTCTGATTTTCAGAAATAACAGAAAACTTTGTTTCTTTACTGGGAAAGGTTATTCGAACAGTTTTCGAGATTTTTAAATTTTAAAATTTTTTCTGCACCTCATCTCTTCATCAGTTCAATTTGTCATTTGCTTTTAGTGTCACAATCTTAGTTTTCTGGAAACTTTTTGGATCTTAAAAAGTGAATCGTTCACTGAAAAACGATCAATCTCGTAAATGTCTAGAAAATAAAAGACTTTTCTTAAAAGTTTAAACGAAAAAATATTGTCAAAAAACTTTTCTCACCAACTTAAATTACGGATTTTTTTTCAAAAACAATTTTAAAAGTATTTAATTGATAAGCTTTCTGATCGATATAATCGAAGAATGATAAAAGTATGCTATGATAAATGATTTCATTCCTCTTTTCCTTTTTCATTTCATGATAAATTACAATAATTTTCGTCAGCCAAAATTTTTAATTCAATTTTATGGTAAAAATTTGAAAATCGAACGAAAAAATAATAAGAAAGAAAATTTCCATCCATTTTGGCTTTTTGAAATAATTGAAATGCTGTTTTTGCTTATTTGCTTCAAGTAACTTTGTTGTAAAAATTAAGCTATCCTCCGGTATTGTTTAGTGAACTAAACCAATTAGACATATTACTAACTTCATATCACTAGCTGAATGATGAGTGTTTCAAGCTTGAAGTAATATCATTGTTATCATTAATATTATCACTATTCACTTATTATTTCTTGCAGTTTAATTCGTAATAATTTTTTTTGTTGCAGACAATGGCAACGAAACGAGCTCAAGCTGGTCTAGCAAATGCTGCTAAAACAACATTTGGTGATGAAGAATTGGTAATGCATTGTTTAATCATAATTTTGCAGATAATATTTAAGTTTTGACATAATTTAATTGGCATTTTATTTTTAATAATATTTGTTTTAATAAGACATCCATTACTATTACTATCACTATTGTTATTATCATTATCGTTATTATTATTAATTATTGTTGGCATTATCTATCTAATCGTTGTATCATAATTATCGTGGTAATCTTTCAAAAGATTATGATTTTTTCAGAAAATGCACGTTTACAAGAAAACATTACAAGCATTAATTTATCCGATCAGCTGTACGACACCTCATAATTTTCAGTTGACAAATTTTCAAACTCCAACATGGTGTCATGAATGTGAAGGTTTACTATGGGGCATAGCTCGACAAGGTTAGCCTAATGCCTACGATAGCAAAACTTTTGTTAAACAAATAAGATTCGAATATTGGTTTCTCATATATCATAAGTGCTGTTGTCTTATTTTATGGAGCAATTAGTCCCTTTAATCATTCCTGGGTTACTGTAATGGATAGTAATTTTTGACTTCCATATAAAGCTGGATTGTTCAGCTAATTTTTAGGCTTTATTTGAACTCATCATTAATGTGGATCAAAATTTGGCAATACTTTCAATCACGAATTTTTTTATGTTTAGTTGATATTTGTACGGCAAATAGGCTTATCTTATTTTAATCACAAATGTCTATTTGCAGCAAAAATAGAAATTGATTATAATTGCTTAATTTATGAATTAACTTTTTTAAGGTTTAAAATGTGCAGAATGTGGCGTTAAAGTGCACGATAAATGTCGCGATCTAATAAGTGCCGATTGTTTGCAAAGTATTTATTTTTGGATTTTTAATTTCTTGTAGAAGTTAATGTTAAAATAAATATTTAATAAGAATTTAATGTGTGCAGTAAATAAAAAATTTGGAAAATGTAAAAGCGAATTCTAATGAAACATTTTTGTCTAAGCATTTTATTTTTTTGTTGCCTCATTACATTTCAACAATTATTGCTGGAATTTCAGGCTTTTTTACACTCAAATTAAATAAATTGCCAATTTTAAGGGTGAAAATAAATAAATAAATCTTTGGCTTCATTTTAGGAGCAGCAGAAAAAAGCTCAAAACATGGTGAAGGTAATCGAACACAGAATCTGATGGCAGTAATCCGTGAAAGGATGAAAATACAAGAAAGGGATAAGCCTGAAATCTTTGATACCGTTAGGTTTGTTTTTGATTGAATATTGTGTTTTGTTCTTTATAATTTGCTTATTAAGCAGCTACGGCTGCGATAAAAGTTTCCATTTAAATACTAAAAAACAAATAGCTACTATCTATTAATTAGCTAATGAATAAGCCAAGTGAGCGTATTATATTACTGTAATTTGTAAATAAAGCTTAGATTAATAAATTAAATTAATATTATTAGTTTAACATCAAATTTTATTGCTATAAAAATTCCAGTACTGTAATCCATGTGCAAATTTTAAAATGTTATCAGTTTAACATCAGATATTAATGTCATAAAAATTTGACTAATGTAGTTTGTAAATAAAGTTTAAATTAATAACCAAATTATGAATTAATTTAATTATTACTTACATATTGTAGTGCTGAAATTTCTTTCCACTTTTTATTGAAAAAGTTTCTTTAAAAGGATTTCTAAAATATTCTAATATTTCTAAAAAATTCACATTATGCATGTTCTTTTTTATCAGGATCATATTCAATGTTGATTTGAATATACAACAAGAATCACTGAAACAAGTGAAAACAAGTATTCTAGAAGGAAGCTCAAAATGGAGCGCCAAAATTGCTCTTACTGGTAATTAAATAATGATTGTGTTTTAGAAATGGAATATGAAATTTAATCTTTTCTTTTAACTCTTCAAATGCCTTTTTTCTTTTTTATTTTAGATGGTACTTTTGATAATTTTTCTCTTTTTAGATATTTCAATGATTTTTATTAATGTGTACGATATTCTAAATAGGAAAAAGTATTCCTGCAAATGATTGAATGATGAAAAACTTGACAGTAGGAGAAAATGAAATAAGACATATGTCATTTAAATATTGTAACTTGTAATATTTGGAAAAATTGTATCGCAACTAAATTCTTCTTTATAGCAGTCAATAGTTTTAGTTAATTAATTTATTATTGTTATAGTTTTTATCTATCTAATTGTTCAAATTAGTTTTCCAAAGAAAAAAAAGTGAAATTGAAATTAGGAATGAAAATCATCAAATTATAAATGAAACATTAAAATTTTCTTTTTTTATCTACATGGCACTTCTGATATATTTGCAATAATTTATTTTAAAAAATAAAAAATAAATTAAAGTATAATTTGCAGTAATATGTGCTCAAGGTCTAATAGCTAAGGATAAAACGGGTAAAAGTGATCCATACGTTACCGCTCAAGTGGGTAAAATGAAGAAACGGACACGTACAATACATCAGGAATTAAATCCAATATGGAATGAAAAATTTTTTTTGTGTGTTTGCAACATTTCCTTCTAAAATATTTAATTAAGCAATAATTGAAATAAATGGATTTGTGAAATTCGATGATTCATAAAATTTGATTTAATCACTTCATTGAATTATTGAGATGATAGTGAATGATTAGGTGACATTATCGTGACATTTATTTCTCCAAAATTTTCGAACAAATTACAGTTTAATTGACTAAAGACAAACGTTATAGATCATTGATGGGTTAAACCAATTATTGATAGATAGATTTAATAGAAGTATGTGATAGAATAGAATTATCTTATCAGATTTATAACAAATGATTTCCTAACAATCATTATTCTGATAAAAAGAAATGAAAAATTTACTTTTGATGGAAAAATTTTCGATTTATTTGGTCCACTCCACAAACTATAAAATAATATTAATAAATTGCAGAAATAATTTTAGTTTAAAAAGTTTACAAAAACTTATAAAATTAAATCCAATCATCAAAAAAACTCCAACAATAATTTATTAACGAACATTATAGCGAATGTCATAATTCAACGGATCGAATTAAAATTCGTGTCTGGGATGAGGACAATGATCTAAAGAGTAAGTTGAGGCAAAAGTTGACAAGAGAATCTGATGATTTCCTGGGTCAAGCGATCATTGAAGTGAGAACATTAAGTGGTGAAATGGATGTTTGGTATAATTTAGGTTTGTTTTTCTCGTTTTTATTCTTATGCAAATTTAAAAATATCGCGAAAAAAATAGGTATGTCCCATGCATGAACAGCTTGACTAACGATCTAATTAACAATTAATATGAGAGTTCTTCCGGTAGTCTGAATAGAAACATATTGTCATAACGATCTGATTAGTGGCTACTATGATGACCTTTGTTTCGGTATTCGTATAGAAACATATTGTTAGACAGACTGCCGTTCTTAAAATTGGAAACTTTTGTTCATAAAGCTTACTTACTCGAACAATTTCAAACTTTACAAATGGACGGAAATTTTTTTTTTTTGCTAATTAAAAAGAAATTTCAATCATTTATAGAGATCAAAACATTCATAATGCACGCATAACATATTGAATTTAACGAAGTATTTTAATGACTTTTCCGTTTAATTTTTCCTGCCTTAACTAGATCGTATTAATGATGATCTTTCCGGTCTTAATTAAATCATTCTAATAACCTTCCGTTTAATTTTTACGGTCCCAATTAGATCATTTTAATGATTTTTTCATTTCATTTCTCCGGCCTTAATTGGACCATTTTCTTCAGTAACTTTGGTCTCTTCAATTTTTTTTTGAAATTTGAATAATTTTGTTCTTTCATTTTAGGGATGTAATAAAAATTAAATTGTACGCATTCTAGCTTTAAGAAAAAAAAGTTGTATGCATTTCTAGTTTTTTCCTTTCTAAATTGAAATCCGAAATTGGAATTTATTTTTTACTGGATATGATCGTTTGTCCACATCCATTCATATCTTTCTGTATGCTTTCATAAGATTAACTTAATCATTTCTAACACATTTTAACTAACATATCTTTATCCTTCACGTTGGCATACGTGATATACACGGTTACATTTGGTACTACGTGATATATGCTTCAACGAGTTTACTATATTAAATCCCAATCGTCAATTTATCATGCTTTCTGCATATTCCTTTCTCCTGATTTAATAGTACTTTTCTATTTTTTTCTCCGGGATTAAATTTGTTAAGTTATTGAAGCCTTTGTTTTCAACATTTCCCATCCTCTCGTTTACTTCAATTTCTCTTTTATAATCAAACTGTTCAAAGTTAAAACTAATATCAAAGTTGGAAAGTTGAATTTTTTTTTATTCCCCTATAAGACTTTTTTTTTGTTTATTAACTTTTTAAGTTAAATATTATGCAAGAAAAATGACTTTATTTCCTGTTGTCAGTGTTAAAAAGTTGGAATGTTAAATTTTCAAAATTTAAAGCCAAATTTTTTCAGTACAAATTTTATTTCATCATTAAATTAGTTTACCAAATTAATTAATTTTTTTCGAAATAAAAAATTTTGTATTATTTATAGAAAAACGAACGGATAAATCAGCAGTTAGTGGTGCTATACGATTACATATTAATGTTGAAATTAAAGGTGAAGAAAAGCTGGCACCGTATCATATCCAATATACATGCTTGCATGAGCACTTATTCCAAGTAAGTCTTAATGTTTTCTTGTTTATTCCCCTATAAGACTTATTGTAAATGTTAATGTTTCCTTGTTTACCTCCCTATCAATTTTATTGCAAGTGTTAGTGTTTCATTACTTATTTCCCCATTAACGTCAACTAATAATGTTTTCTTTTTTCTTATTTACTTTGCTATCAATATTATTATAAGTGCTAAATGTTTCCTTGCTTATTTCCTGTTAACGTTATTGTAAGTATTGAACCTTCCTTGTTTCATTTCCCCATTATCTTTATTCACTTCTCTTTTCATTATCATTATTATTGCATTGCATGCTTATTATTGCATCCTTCCTTACTTATCTTTTTTCTTTTTCTTATTTGCTTTCCTTCATTTATTTTAACTTTTTTTATTAATTGATACAATTGCTGTTTATCTGTTATCATTGCTTATAAGTATATGTAAGTGATAAATGATAGTTTGCACTTAAATGATCGATATATAAATCTTTCCAAAATTTCTATCCATTCATCTATTTTTAGCATCATTGCACGGAACAGGATGAAGTACGATTACCGAAAACGAAAGATGATTCCTGGAAGGTATATTTTGATGATACGGGTCAGGAGATCTGTGATGAATTTGCTATGCGTTATGGTATCGAAAGTATTTATCAGGTAAATCTAACCTTAAACAAAATACTTTTCTCTCCCATCTCTCTCTCTCTCTCCCTCTCTTTTAGTAATGAAACAATATCTTTTTTAGATACAATGTAATAATTATTTTTTCTTATTATACTATAAAAGTTATATTATATTATGCTATAAAAATTCGAATTTTATTTTGTTCAAATTGAAATTTCATTCACTTTCGTTTTATATAATTAATTCATTCATTGCATAAATTTTACACTTTTCGAACATATTTGTCTGAAAAAAATTAACGAAAACTTATATTTTATAAAAATTTCCCACTGATAATGTCAAAAGTTGTAGCAGAGGAAAAAAGAAAAAACAAATTAAACAGAATCATTTGACGCGACCAGGTGATCAAAGTCTAATTTAAACGTGTTGATTTTGCAAAATGATGTGACACATGTATAATTCTTACTAATATAGTTGTAAACTAATGTGATGCTTATTGCCATAATGTTATTATCACCATAAAATAATCAATAATGTTCCATTAAATAATAACAAAAGTGATAACACGTGATAACACTTACAGTGATAAGGACAAAAAAATTTTCTTTGTTACTATTCATGTTTTTTTCTAATTTTTATATTTGTTCGAAAAAATTTCCTCTTCAATTACATTTTTACTTTTACTAAATTGAAAATTTAATTTTCTTCAAAAATAATTTTTCAGGCAATGACACATTTTGCATGTCTCTGTACACGGTATATGTGTTCCGGTGTACCAGCTGTTTTATCAACACTCTTAGCTAATATTAATGCATATTATGCTCATACAACTGCAACATCAGCTGTTTCCGCATCTGATCGTTTTAATGCTTCCAATTTTGGTCGCGATCGTTTCGTAAAACTACTGGATCAATTGCATAATTCTCTACGTATTGATTTATCCATGTACCGGGTAGATTGCATTTTTTATTTTTTTTTTATCCGTGTTTCGGGTAGATTGTCCTTTTTATCCGTGTATTTGGATAGGTTACCTTTTTTCCCAGCCGTATGTCAGGTAAATTACTTTTTTTTTTCATTTCGAGTAGATTGCATTATTGCATTCTTTTTTTTATCCATGTATTAACTCGATTACTTTTCCTTTTCATTCCTTTATCGGTTAAATTCCCCTTACTTTTTTTAATCCCTATATCGGTCAGATTTTATTTTTTTTTTTCTTACATAACTTATTTTCAATTATTTTACTCCTTTTATAAATTCCATTCAAAGAGTTTTGTCCTTTTTTTAATGATAACAAATCATTCAAGCTATATAATTATGTGCAGTATTTAACCAAAACTTCTCCTTTTTTTCTCTAAAATGTTGAGAAAATTATTATTTGGAAAAATTTTAAAAAAAATTAACATATTCCGATAAAATTTATCAAAGAATTCACTTATTTATTCATTAAGTTTATTTGTGGTTAAATGGAATTTAGAAATGTGTAGTTCCATCTGAAACCTATCCAAATATCCTGAAAATTTTCATATTGATAATGCAGGAAGTTCAATTATCCATATCAACATACGGAAATATAAAGAATTTCTTGGAGTAAAAAGCAGAGTAGACGAGGGAAATATTTTACTTGCAAAAATATGCTAATGATTAAATGACCTTAATTAACTGAGAATCGACAGGGAATTTTTTTTTTTTCATTTGTTTTCTCTGGATCAAAGCAATATTTTGGAATCATTTCATATCATTTTTGCAACCTTTTTAATAGCTTACAGACTTGATTTATCGCGATATCTTAGGAGTATTATAATTCTATCAGTGATATTTTTAAGTATAAGGTAAACATAGGTCGTGCAATAACAATTATCTTATTATCATCCATATGCACATAGACTACTATTTCATTATCAGATAATTTCTATCCTTTAATAATTTAAGGATTTCTTTTTAAGATTAAATTAATTTCACTATTCCTTTTTCTCGATTATTTATGTATTTATGGGAAAGAAGAAAAAAGAAAATAGGCAAAATTTCTTATTTGTCATTTCCTATTTAAATCTTTTAAAACCTTTTTTTTAAAAATGTTTTGTTTCCGATTGCATGCATTTTCCACCGCTCAATTTGTATCATATACTTTTTTTTTACTTTTTTGTCATATTATCCACTATTGACCGATTGTGCAATACTTCGTAAGCTGCAAAATGACGATGAAACGATAAGTGAATGACAATTGATCGATATATCACATATACGTTAATACGTCAAACATATGTCACATATATCCTTCTACTAATTTGACTTCTTAAAGTAGCTTCACTTTAGTATAAGTGAGCGTTTCGTAAGGATTTATTTGTTTGTAAGATAATTTTAGTTTCAGTAAGATAATTGTAAGATGATTTTTAATTTATGCTACAAATAATTCCAGTATTTAAATTACTGTTAACCAGTGGTTTAAATATTTATTTTATAGAAAAAAACATATAACCAAATTATATTTGACAGTTATTTTCTCATTTTTCCTGTCGAAATAATTAAATTTAGCTACAAACTCATATTTACAATACAACCCTGCACGTGGCATTTTTTTTTCTTTCTACTCATATATATAATTAGCTAATTAGAATCTCGAAAAAAAAGAAAGTTAAGTTTTGAAGTGTTATGTGTTATAATCATTTTATCTAAATCAAAGGTTGTTTTTTCCCTTTAATTTTTATACAAAACGATTACATTGAAAAATTCAAATTAAACTGTTTGGGTTAAGCAAAAGAAAATTGTTCTAAAATGAAATTTTTCGGAAAAAAAGAATAAAAATTGAAAAAGGAGAAAAAAATTCATTTTAGAAAAATAACTTTTCTTATTTTTCTTTTCCATCCAAAAATGCATCAGTCTTCCCGGCATTTGTATCGAATTAATTTTCCATTCTGTTCGTTTTACCATTTTTCATTTCATTTCTATCTAATTCCATTTTACTTATTTTTTTTTAGTCAACTAGCATAAATAATAATATATCTATTAACTAAATGATCACATAAGATTTAAAGGATATTCAAACTCGTTAAGTAAATTTTATTTCACGATTTTGAAATTTATTATTTTATAAAACTTATGCAGATATAATTTGATACTTTTTCCCTCCCTTTTTTTGTGTTAAATTGCTGGTTATTTTTGAAAAGTTGCTGGAAATGACAAATGATTTGATTTCGTAGTGTTTTAATTCAATTCCTTGCTGCAAAAAGTTCTTATTAATTTAATTCCTTGTTGATTTAATTTCTCAGTGTTTTTCCTCGCTTAAAGAAAGTATTTTAAAACATTCAAACAATTTGTTAGCATTAATTACTATTTATTTACCAATAATCCAAACTTCTTGGATTTATAGTCTAGTCTGGTAATTAAACTCATTCCCTTGTTTTTTGTTATTTCAAACGTTCCTTCCATATATTTTGTACTGAGATATTACATATAGTACTTTGACAGATTATATACTGATATACGCAAAGGAATATGTGTATTTTGCGATCAGTTACGGTACTCACTTCAATATTTGTTATTCGATTTTTTCTTAAGCATATACAATAATCCATAATCATTAATAAATTGTTAATAAATTTTTTTATATGTTAATTAACAATTAATAATAGGTATTCTTTGCAGAAGTATTTTCCATCATCATCATCTGCAAAATTAGCAGACCTGAAATCAACAGTAGATTTATTAACATCGATAACATTCTTTCGTATGAAAGTATTGGAATTGGCTAGTCCACCACGTGCTTCTAATGTTGTAAGTGAATGCGCTAAAGCTTGCATGCAGGTAACTAACCGTTCCTATCTTCTTTATTGAATTTTTTTTTATTAATTTGTAGATATTATTACAATAATAAGTCATCATTTTGTTTTATTGCTAGAAAAATGGTAAGCTAAATGCTTTTTAATTTATTGCTATATGAATTAGGTAATAAATAATTTGACTGAAAGAACAAATTGATGGAATTCAAATATTTCCAATAATATATTTGAGGAAATTTTTGAAATACGATCAAATACAACGAATGTCTTAGCAATTGTTTTTTTTTTTTTCTGTTAACGTCACTTAGATATATCTATTTTTTTACTGAAATTATCAGGAAATTCAAAAATTAATTTACAATGAATTCCATTTAATTTTTAGGCAACATATCAATTAATGTTCGAAAGTTGCTGTGAAGATGGCGGTCCATCAGCAGATAGTGTAAATTTTTGGTTTGATTTTCTTGATTATATGATGCGAGTGATTGAAGATGATAAAAATATTTATACGCCCGTATTAAATCAGTTCCCACAGGAATTAAATGTGGGAAATTTATCAGCAGCAACATTATGGCAATTGTACAAAACTGATTTGCAAATGGCTCTAGAAGGTTAGCTGAATTGGTGTTAAATTTATTTTAGTTAGATTTAAATCAACGGAAAAGAGAGTAGAACATTTTCGATGGATAATTTCCTTGCAGTAATAATAAAGTGAATATTTCTATGCTCAAAGAATAAGCCAATTAACTTCCTTCGAGATGAATAAATTTAAATTTTGTAATCAAACAGATGTCAAATTTAACCTCAATGATACAGTGTAAAGGAAACACATATTATAATCGTGATTAATATATTTGTGATTAACATATTATAATCGTGACATAGTCGTGATTAACTTAACTTTTATTAATTCAGTTCAAATCTTTCGAAGAATTATTATTGTCACAGAGTTGTACTGAAAAGTTAAAAATTTCTGTGACAGAGAAATTTTTGCATATGATGAATCTTCAAGGACTACGCATCGATGATATCTGATATGAATAAAATTTAAATTGAAATAATTTTTGCATTCATTTTATTGAGTGATTTTAAATATTTAATTCAATCACTTATTATATTTCAGTCAAACATCTGTTACTTATGTATATTTTTCATGTAAAACTTGTTAAAATTTCATTTTTGGCATGTGCCAAAGGAGAAAATCTATCAAGAATGCTGCAAAGCATTCGCTTAATATTATATATAGTCTGGAATATACCAAGTTTCATCTCATATTTCAATCCATAATGGCAGTTCAGTATGCCCTTATGTAAGATATACGTATGGTTTTACGTGAAATATCACGTAAATGTCATCGGAAATCAAATAAATGAAATTGAAGCGAATAGTGAAACTGCTTATTTATTACTTTGTTCCAGAACATGCGCAAACGAAGAAATGCTCCACACCAGAATATATGAATTTATATTTTAAAGTGAAAGGCTTTTACTTCAAATATATAGCCGATTTAGCGCAATATAAAGCTTCAATTCCGGAATTTCCTGCGTAAGCTTCCGTCGAAACTTTCATCTTCTTCAGCTTACCAACACTATTTCCTACATTTGAAAAATAAAGTGGCTAGTTGAAATGAACTTTTGCGGGAGGGTAATAATGATGTGGAAAAGACTTGTCAACTTTAATTTTTTAACTTTTTAATTTTAATCTTTTACTTGAAAAATTTTATTTACTTATTTTTGATACTTTGATTATTGAAAATGAATTTTGGTTAGATTTAAATTTATTACAACTTCTTTTTCTTGTTTGCTGTAAAGATTGATTATGTTGATTACATAAAATGGAAAGTGAAATGTTTTGAATATGTCAAATTTCAATGCATAAAATATTATGAGCATTTTGATGCATGATAATACTATCAGTGATTTTTAATTTTATTTTTTTTTTTCAGTTGGTTCATACCATTTGTAATGGATTGGTTAAATGAGAATGATGAACATTCAATGGATATACTGAGGAATGCGTACAATCGTGATAAGAGTGATAATTTCCCACAAACATCAGAACATACGAAATTTTCTAATTCTGTTATTGATGTATTTACACAGCTTAATGAAGCACTTAAATTGTTGAAACAGGTAAAATTTGCTCAAATAATATTCTTTTAATAAAGTTATTTAAATTAAAGTGTGTGTCTTTTAAAAAAAAGAAAAGGGAAGAACGAGTTAAAAATTAAAAGTTTCAAAATCGAGAATTCTAAGTTTTAGCAATTTTAAACCGATTAAAATTGAATTTTTTTTCTTCCGATTCAAAGAATGAATATCCTGATAAGCTGAATTGCAGATGTTGAACTAAGTGCAATTAGCGCATGCATGAATAATTAGTAAAGTACTCGAATGAATATGGGAATGAATGAAAAAAAAGGATATTTTCGAAATTTTTCAGAAAAAGAAGCAATTAATTGCTATTTCAATTTAAAATTTCAAAATATACTCAAAAGGAAAAGAATTTGTTCATTTGAAAGGGCTTCCTTATAAAAATGACTTGAATTATACTAACTGTGCCTTAAACACTTTAAATACCATAAAGTAGTAGTTCGCAATCGCTGATCCGCGAGAACTACAACAGAATCCACAAGAGCAGCGGAGCAATGAGTAGAAGTAGAAAATAGGCGGCAGCTGTTCCTATGTTGGATGTTTTGATTGAAGTTTATTTTCAAATTAACAAAATTTATTATTTTTGAACCCTGTAGTTCCTGCTACAAATAAAAAAGCCAAAGGGGTCATTGGTCAAAAAATGATTAAGAATCATTACCTTAAACAGGAGTCATTTAAAGAAATGCATCCATACTATCCTGCAATAAATCAAAAGTTTTACGTCTGTGTTTGCATTCACGTATACCCACTGCCTATAACGCTCAAAATTTCCATTCCATTCATTAATCACGGAATATTACAGATGGATTGCCCAAATCCGGAAGTGTATGCGGATATGATGAAACGATTTTCCAAAACACTAAACAAAGTTTTGTTAGCATATGCGGATATGGTACAGAAAGATTTTAGCAAATTTGTTAACGATGAAAAACTTGCATGCATACTGATGAATAACGTTCAACAACTTCGGTTTGTTTTTTTAAAAAAAAAGAAAAAAAATTCAGTTTTTGGAAAAATTCTTTTCCAACAAAAAAAGGTAAATAAAGATTTCGATTTTCTTAATAAATTTTTTTTTAATTCATTTGAAATATGAATCAGTAAAAGTTTAATTTGGAAAAAATTCCCATAAAATGCCAATATTTGTTGCTTGTAGTTTAGAAAAAGAAAACAAAAGGAAAAGATCGTTTTCTTTTTTTCCCCTCCCCCCCAAATATACCATCAACCTTTTGCTACACAATTCAACTCAGCATTCAAACTGCATTTGAAAACTATTAAATAACTCGACTTGATGGAATAACGCACTTAATGCAGTCGATAATTCTTTTTCAATTTTTCGAAATATTTGGAAGAAGTAAAAGTAATTGTCATTTTCTATTTTTAAACTTCAATATCTTGAAATTTCATATTTGCAAATTATTCAGACATGAGCAAGAGAACATGCAAGCATACATATTGTACTGCAGTTGTACTAGTAATTTGATTAATATGATATCCTAATCGTTTAGAATAAAGTCAAGATATATGTTTCAGGGTACAATTAGAGAAAATCTACGAGAATATGGGTGGACCAAATCTTGATCCAACTGCAAATGCGGTATTGAGTAATTTACAGAAGAAGCTCAATGCTGTCTTGAATAAATTATCGGGACAATTCGTGGAAAGTTTGGTGCCAAATATTCATGTACAAATGAATAAATTAGGCGTTATTTTGAGTAAAATCAAAGGACCACAACTGCCAAAAAGTCAATTGATTGGGGTAAGCATCTCTTTTTCTTTCTTTTTATCATATTAATTTAATATTATAAATTCAAATATTATTAATTTTTATATTAATTTAACCAAAATAAACGAATTTCATTTTTCTGATTTTTTATCTTTTTCCATTAACTAAGACTATATTTTTTTTTTTGATAAGAACAAACAAAATATGTTGTTAACATTATATGGAAATACAAATGTTAACACAAAACATTATCATATTTGAAATTTATAATTATGTGATAAAATTTTTTCTCTTTAATTTACAAATTTTCATACTCCTTTTAGACAATAGAATTATTTGAGAGACGGGTATGGAAATTATAAAAGAATTTTCAGGAAGTAGATTCAGTACTTGAACCACTGATGGAATTGCTGGAGGATAAACTACAAGATTATGCATCACAATGTGAAAAGACGGTGCTCAAGTATCTACTGAAAGTAAGACTTCGAAGCCATCGTTAACATAATTGTGCAATTAATTAAAAAAAAAATGTAATTAGCACTTTTTTCAGTTAGAATTACTCCTTTCGAGAAAGTTAAAAGTTGAAAGATGAAATTTTATCAAAATTAAAATTAAGCATTGTTATATCCTTGATAGAGGCATTTGACTAAAGTGAAAAGGAGGGAAGGAGACTAAATTTGTTAAATCGTATCATAGAGTCTATATTTTTATAATTAAAAAGAAAAGAAAACATTTGGCCTAAAATCAATATTTGACCATTCATCTGGCAATACTTTGCAAAATTAATAGTAATTTGATCACCTACTGATTAAAATGTGGATGAGAAAATTATTTGATCACCTACTGATTAAAATGTGGATGAGAAAATTATTTGATCACCTACTGATTAAAATGTGGATGAGAAAATTATTTGATCACCTACTGATTAAAATGTGGATGAGAAAATTATTTGATCGACCTACTGATTAAAATGTGGATGAGAAAAATTATTTGATCACCTACTGATT